TGGTGCTGAGATCGTTGGCACTTTCGTTCTTGTTTACACTGTTTTCTCTGCTACTGATGCTAAGCGTAGTGCTAGGGATTCACATGTCCCTGTAAGTATTCATAGCCTTAATTCAGTAAGAGAAAGTAGTAGGCTTTGTGGGTAATTAACTGTGGCCTTAAAACTGAGTTGAAATTGGGTTATGTTTTAATTTAGCTTTTGGCACCATTGCCTATTGGATTTGCTGTGTTCCTGGTACACTTGGCCACAATTCCAATCACTGGAACTGGTATTAACCCAGCTAGGAGTCTTGGCGCAGCCATCATCTACAACCAAGACCACGCATGGGATGACCACGTAATTATCTACTTAATTCATCCTTTTTGCCTTTTTAAGTTTCATTAAATAATTTTTCTGACTTGTTATGATGAATGGTGTTTGATGCAGTGGATATTCTGGGTTGGACCATTTATTGGAGCAGCACTAGCAGCTCTATACCACCAGGTGGTGATCAGGGCAATCCCATTTAAGCCCAAGTAAAATCTCTTTTAACCACAGATTTCTCAAGCTTAATCGTCATCTGGCAAAAGATCAAAAGCCTCATTTCTGCCCATTTCCCCTTTGCATTAGATCCTCTTTTCTTTTTGTTTTGTTTTTTGTATCTATGTATTTGTAAGTTTCGTAAGTGGGAGAATGTATCTGATGGGGGCATATTTTCTATAAAAGGACCTTCGCTTTTCATTTCATTTGTCCAAAGAAAATGTGCAAACGGGCCAAAGAGAAAAGTTGTTGGGGGGGGGGGGGGGGGGTATCATTAATAGTTTTTCCAATAAGCACGCCTATTTATTTCTTTAAGAATTAATCCAAATAGGTGCTTACGTAATCTTTTAAATTAAAAATAGCCGATGGAGTTATATATAATCGTGTATAATTAATGTATAATCGTTGTATACCGACTAGAAAAAGTAAATATTAAATCTGACTGGCTATTTGTATTACAATTTAGCTCGAGACCGAAATTCTATCTCTTTCGTTATGTTAGCAAGATTGCCAGAACTACGAAACACCAGATTTTCTGAAGATCACTAAAAGTTTTAGTACCAGATTTTTAAACACTAGAAATTATGACAATCACTAGAATTTTCAACCATAATGCTGAAAAATTCTGGTGACCGTCAGGATTTGAGGCAATATCCTGATAATCACCATAACTGTTGTGTGCTATCAAATTCTGGCGATTGAGAAAAATCATGAAGAGCAAACTTTAAAATTCTGATGGGTCTTTTTTCCAACATTCTGTCACCGGAGTTAAAATATCAATAATGGCATTGAAGTGCCCTATTTCTGTCATTCTCCCTAACAAAGGACGGTTGTTCCACGTGAGCTCAAAATTAATCCGTAGTTGTTCAACAAGTCATGACCTGAAAATTCAAGCTATTTTTGATAGTACTCCTATTTATATAGATGACATTCTTTTGTTCTTGCAGTATGGGGAGGTACATGAAAAACTTATACAACACTATTTCGGAAAAGGAAAAATTTAGGCCAAATACTTTTACGGCCGCTTAAAGTTGTTCGCCCTTTTCACTTAAATATTTTACTTTAAGTCTGTTCCATTCGAACACTCTAAGCACATCTCAAATAAGTCATTTGAACACAAAATTCTTAGGCAACCAAAAACAAAAGGAGCGTGTAATTCACACGCCAAATTGACGAATAAGACAAAGACACGTGTATTTTACCTTAACCCCACCCGTCTGTCATCTTCCCCAATGACCCCTGGCCATTTTTTCCCCTTCAAAATGCAGGAGCAAACGACCAATAAAATCATTGGCAAACAAACATAATATAATGCAATAGTTGAGAATAGTGAAATCAAACCCAATCTAAATGTACCAAACATGGGACTCAATCACAAAAATCAACAAACATAAGCAGGAAGGTTGCTGGAAAAGCGAAAATCCGACCAAATGAAAATAAAATTCCGACCGAATTAAAAGATGGTGGACTTTCACCATATGTTTTTAGATCTATAACCTGTAGAAAAAAAAACAAGGAGAAGAAGACACCAACTCAGAAGGGTCACCAAAAACTTGTTATTTCCGGTCAGATCCGCTTGAATCACTTTTACGACCAGAATTGCAGCGGTCAACCAGATCTCCAAAATGAGAGGAAAAATGGAAACTTTACGATGGTGGCCAGATTTAAAGGTGGTGATGGTATGCCCGGATCTAAAGAAGGATACAATTATATTAGTGTGAACAAATCTAAAAAAAATTGGCACTACTAGAAATTCGGCAAAAACCGATCAAGGTCGACCGACCAACTTTGGTCGGTCAAAAAACTAGCCAAAATCCGACCAAAGTTGGTCGATTTTTCAAAATATTTTTTTTTTATTTTTTTTAACGAAACCGACCAACTTTTGTTGGTTTTTCATGTAAAATAAATTAAAATTAATGTTTAAAAACCCGACCAAAATTGGTTAGTTAATTCGGCCGGTCATTTTAAAAAACCGACCAACTTTGGTCATTAATTTTATTTTTTAATAAAACCGACCGACTTTGGTCAGTTATTTTCGTGCGAAAATACAATTAAAAAGTATAAATCAAATAAAAGACAGTCTAAAAATAAAATACACCAATGATCTAGTGGTAGAATAGTATCCTACCACAGTACAGACCCCGGTTCGATTCTCAGATGCTGCATTTTTAATTACATAATTAAAATACCGACCAACTTTGGTCGGAAAAAACCGACCAACTTTGGTCGGAAAAAACCGACCAACTTTGGTCGGAAAAAACCGACCAACTTTGGTCGGTTTTTTTCAGCAATATTTTTTTTTTGAATTTAATGACCGACCAAAGTTGGTCGGTATGCCCTTCCGACCTTTAAAATACCGTCCACACGTAAATGGTCGCATTTTGGACGGTTATTGACCATTACCGACCAACTTTGGTCGGTTTTTTTGGACGGTTTTGCCTGGATTTCTAGTAGTGTGGGCTAAGAAGATGGTCGAAATTTTTTCCGGCAGAAGCTGTACATTTTCCGACAAGAAGTATGAGGAGTTTGTTTTTTTGGAATGATTTCACGTGCTAGGAAAATATGAGAAACACTTACCTTGGTATGTCAGCATTTTATGCTCAAATGACACATTTGAGCTGTGCTTGGAGAGTTCAAATAGAATGGACTTAAGATAGAATGTCTAATTGAAAAGAGCGGACAACTTTAAGGGGCTGTTAATGTATTTGGCCAAAAATTTACTAGATAGCCAAATTTTGAGTTCGTTAGAATGAGACCTTTTGGAGGTCAATATTATCCAGGCCCCCATACATAGCCCAAGAACTCCTGATATTTTGGATGAAGACTAGACTATTTAGGAAAACTCACAGTTCCTTCGCCAATATCAATTACATAAAACTTCAATCCATGTTCATCCAAATACACTAGTAAAAAGTCTAATGAAAATAATCTCTCAATATCCTCCACCATTCAAGATTGTCACCATAACTCATATAATTCTATAGACATATGGGATTGATCAATATTTTAGGACACTACCACTCGTTGAGGAAGAGAATGAGAAATAGTATTATCTTTGACAGACCAATAAATAGATCAGGGAAGCCAGAAAGCAGTATTACATTACTTACAAAGTTAGACTTGGAATCAAATATGGCAATTGGCATCAAGAAATTCGAGACTTCGATTGCCATATCAGGGAACAGGATTGTAATGCAAAGAGACAACTCAACCTTCACATTGAGGCCACATTGCTCTTCATTCATTTGGCTTGTGTCACGACCCAAACTCCCACCGGAGCCGTGATGACGCATAACACTGCTTGTTAGGCAAGCAAATCCTTCCGCAATAACAATAATTTAATTAACAGAAGCTTAATAATCTCAACAACAGTAATATCATAACATATATGAGAAAAACAATAATAACACAACTACAACCATTTGAATAATATGGTGTAACGAGTACATGAGTACTATAGAATCTCAAAATACATAACAAAATTCTCAGTACAACTGTCTGAACGATAGAACAGTGATAACAAAAATAAACTAAAGATAACTTCAAGGTCTGCGAACGACATAACAACTATCTCGTAGTCTCCACAAGCTGGTATCGGTGCGAACTCTAGTAATCACCATGCCGTGAAGTATCTGGATCTGTATATAAAGTACAGAGTAAGAGTACAACCGACCCCATATGCTCAATAAATAAAAAACCTAACCTCAGGCTGAAAGGAGTAACGTGCTCATAAGAGAGTCAATGTCCAACACCAATAATCAATAACAACTCATAATATAATGAAGACAGTAAAAGTAAATAACTCAAAGATATCACGTTTAACTCGTTCACAATTACGAATAATTAGACATACTTTCCAAGTATAATAGTCAAGATCCAATCTTTCTCTAAAAACACCAAAATATGAGTTTAACTATGAAACTGTGATTTTTCAAACTTTCAACAACAGATAAGACATTTCGTTTACCAGCTAGCATGAGAATAATACATCTTTATGCCTACATGTCAAATATTTATGTAGAGTCAATAACATCATAGTGAAATCATCAAGTACACTCACTCTCAGCACGGTCAAGGTGCCTGGCACAAATACCGCTAACTATCACACACAACCACACTCAAAACTGTACGAGTGGCTGGCACAAACGGAAAATATTTTCCTTCATACCAAACACACCCTACGTGATCACATTATTCATAACATAAGAATTTTAAACAAAAATAGAATGTAAGAAAAAAAGAGGAGTAAAGAGAATTGGTTTCCTCCCCTTTGCTTGTCCCTCACCAAAGCACAAATATATCATATACCTGCGTTCACTGTAGTATCAGACTCCAGAGAGGCAGATCCTGACCCAAGTGCCAATCAATAATAAATATCAATATGTTACTATGTGTGACCCGACGATCCAAATATCAATCAGTTGCGGCGTGCAACCCAATCCAACATAACTCACAACAAGGCTCCATGGCCCACATCAATCATCAACCGTTCAAGTCTCAATGGCTCACATCTCATAGAACTCAGCCCAAACAATATCACATATAGAGGACAACAACAACATGTGATCTGAAAAAGAAATACTGTACAAGGACTAAGATATAACATGCATATGAGGAATTATGACTGAGAATATGACAACAATTAAGGCAAACTGCTCAAAACAGCAAGAATAGCCCTATCATGCCTCCAACAAGTAAGTACATAGCCTAAACATGATTTTAACATGAATCATAGTTCAAATAATTATATAAGTAGAGAAAACAAACACACACATATTAAAAGTGTGAAGCCTTAAACTAGAAAATTGAATTACATAAACACCCTTCTAAATAACTTAACTATCCTATTTATTTATTTTTAAAAAAAAGATCCAGCCCCAACGGTTCATACTCCAACAGTTACAACATTTCCATAACTTTTCATTCTCGTGTAAATTTAAAAAGCCACCACATTGAGTCACAATCGGTGGAAAACTTTATAGGATTCACCAAACGTATACGAAGGATTAGTTTTCCGAATAACAACTCAGTAATGTAAAATTTGCAGATTCTCAATTTAAAATAGTTAGGCTATTTATGCAAGTGTGCCTGAGAAAGAAAACAAAAGGAGAATTAGATATAAGGATAAGAGAATAACACATTATTCATGATCATCCACCTCTATCATCATTATCTTCTATGATTGGTATTTGGTAAGTAAACTTGC